CACCACGTGGTGCCGCTGGACGGGAGGTGATGTGGGCGGGGCTTAATGAGAGCCCCATCAAGTTGGGTGTGGCTTATAGGGGGTTTCCTGCCTTCCGCATGGCAGGCTGTTTTGTTTGGGCAGCCGCCATTTTAAAGAGGTCTTGAGTATTCACACAAAATAAAGCAGTTGAGTTAATCGACTTAAGTGACTAATCGTCCCAATTTTAGAGATGAGTCGGTAAAAACACATTGCCAATTTACTTGGTTTTCCACTATACAGTGGAAGTTTACAAAATTTGTTCTGTTTTCACCCACATCTATTCATTTTCACAGAGATGAACGATATTAAAGCAGCCGCCACTGACTTGAATTGTTTACCCCCTTTTCCGCAACTTCTTTATTACATTTAAATGATCCGTGTACAATCCCACTGTATCCATTTTGTCTTATTGCATTTACACTAATCCTAATCTTGTGATTAGCATAACTGAAATTTTAATAGAAAATGTTCATTCTGTGATCAAACCCCATTTTGCTTAACGCTTCAAGGGCCTCGTTCATGTTCTGGATTGCAGCAGCTTCCACCAACGTTCCACAGAAAAAATAATTGCCAGTAAATCGTGGCAGTTTGGTTATTTTCCAGCAAATATTGGTAAAAAGTGCCTTCTTGGCAGCACATGAATTAGACTCTCAGTCTCAATTCCATTTGTTCCCCAATTTTACAGTCACTTAATTTAAATCTGACTTTTAAAACGTTTGCGTAACATGTAAATACATTTTGATTTAAAGCTTTCGTGACTGCAGTAATTCATATTCTTAGCTCTTTCGGTAAAGTCACGGTGAAGGGAAACAATAAAATAATAAAAAATATATAAAACAATAAAAATTCTCACGACGTTTCGACCATAACACAAACGGTCGTCATCAGCTGTGTCGTTTTTATTTATTTATTTAATGCAAACCGACACACCTGATGACGACCGTTTGTGTTATGGTCGAAACGTCGTGAGAATTTTTATTGTTATATATTATTATTTTATTGTTTCCCTTCAACGTGACTTTACCGAAAGAGCTAAGATTATGTAAATACATGTTTAACATGTAGGCTTTCGCGACCAATATTCATAATAGAGTTTTTTTTTTGTTTAGATCGCGTAAATATATAAATGTGTCGTTAAAACCCACCACCACCCGACACAGCCAACTAGTAAGGGTTGTTACGGAAACAGAACATGCCAATGCGTCACTAGTACAGCACTAACCGGTGTGTTGGAAAGCCAAGCCACAACATTTACAATCTGAGTATGACGTTTCGCCAGTAATTACAACTAGCTTCATCAGGCGACAGCCAGATTTGTGGAGAAGTCAACCTGTTTCATTCCTTATATAGAGGCAACAACGTGCATTATGCATTATGCGAGCCCTTTGAACTTGTCCTGCATGCCTACAAAGGACAGCTTACTTCAGCAGAATACCGTTGGTACGGCTATTTTAATACACAACAGACAGGAAGGACAAGTTCAAAGGGCTCGCATAATGCACATGCATCATGTATGTTGACTCAGTAATCTCCCCCCCCCCCAAGTGGCCCAAGAGCGCACAAGCGTGGTCACCACATCTACGCCCCCTCTATGTAAGGAACGAAACGGGTGGAGTTCTCCACAAATCTGGCTGTCGCCTGATGAAGCGAGTTGTAATTACTGGCGAAACGTCGTACTCAGATTGTAAATGTCGTGGCTTGGCTCTCCAACACACCGGTTAGTGCTGTACTAGTGACGAATTGGCCACGTTCTGTTTCCGTGACAAACCTTACTCGTTGGCTGTGTCGGGTGGTGGCGGGTTTAATGACACATTTATATATTTACGCGATCTAACCCAAAAAACCTCTATTATGGATGTTAATACATCGTTGCAGAACAATAACCGGTACATGAATATATCACGTTTTACTTTGTCTTAATTTGTGCACGATGGCTGTTTAATAACTTGAAAAACGACTTGCTACTCGGCTCCTAACACACAGCTGAATGTCTAGTGTATTTTTTCAATTCCTTATTTTTTATGTGCCCACGGGTTTTTACTGCAGAGGCTATAGTGTGTTTGTTTTTAGAAGAAAAATCAGGGACCTATAAAGTTTAATTAAAAGATTATATGAATATACACGAGATCCTGTGGCTTTTGAAGTTTTTGTTCTAATTTAACTTTTTTTAAGGAATGCAAAAACATAAAAGTAGTGCGATTATGCAGTGTTTGTAAAAGAATATAATTAATAAAGAAATAAAATGTCAAAATGTTAATGTTCTGCTTTGATTTTTCTTTTTACGCTCTGAAAATAATTAACTTTCACGTGCGTTATGTTATCCATTCGTGTTCTATTCTTGCGTATGGTAAAACAAATGTTCAGGAACGGAATGTCGAGGTCTGCTAGCCACGACTGGAGGGATTCAGGAGAGAGTTTCTGTGGTTTTGCAGACTATGTGTGTATGTCGAACTTCTTGCGCACCGTACGTAGCCAACCGCGCTAATCGGAGGTGCCGGGGGGAAGGGCAAACAGGTACCGTGGTTTACCGTACGGTCCATAGTTTTGGTCGCATGGCCATAAGTGCCTCGTGTCTTCAATGCTCCATTCGTGAAGGAGACGTGGGCATCGGTCTGTTGATGTTTTTGATGCGGTTGATGGTTATACGACCAGCGTCTTTGGAAGAATGTCACAACCAGGAGCTGCGATGAATAAGGACATACAATTAAAAAAGGTGTTTTTTTGCTCACTTAAACTCGTTGGAGAGATTGTATGCCCAAGAGCCATCATTGTACCCTGTCAACCTGTAACGGACCAAGAGCCATGAGTTCTGCAAAGAGCCTAGTGTGTATAATAGAGGTTGTTTTGGGGTTACATCGCGTAAATGTAAAATGCGTCGTTAAGCCCGTCGGGCGGTGGAGGCTTTAACGACACATTTTATATTGAAGCGATCTAATCCAAAAAGAAACCTCTTTTGGGCAATATTGGTCGCGAAAGCCTACGTGTTGAGCCGAGTGTGTATATAATATTACATCATGTCACGCAACCTTAATTCATGAATCTTTTGCTGCTGTGATCGTGCTTTCGACGTCATGCCCCCCCGCCCGCCTTCGACAGTGCCACGTGTAGGCATCAACGAGCCGGTAGAAGGCGGCTCGAGAGACGCCGGTTGGCCACCACCGCTTTAGTTGGTGGACAAAGTGAACGACGAAGGGAGCGGAGGGGGTGCATTGGAAGACACTTTTTTTTATTCTTTATTCTACCAGATAAGGCCCACGGACACGAGTGTGGGGGTACACAACGCTCGCATAGACAACCACGGCTGCAAACGCAAGGTGAACGGGAGCGAGTGTGCAAACAAGGTGAAGATGTAATTAGTGAGAAAAAAAAACGGTGTTCACAACGTTTTTTTTTTACGGTTATAGTGTGTTTCACTTCTCCAGACGCATTATAATTTGCAATCAAATGATGTACACAGGGAAGATACATGGCATTCATCATCATGTAATATATCCATTGAAATGCATATTCTATTCATAGTAGGCGGCTGGCTCTGCCTCAGTGATACACAGAAATATCAACACATTCATCAATAACACTGCCTTAAAAATAAAAATATATAATAGGCAATGTTTAGTTCTGTGTAAAGTGGCTCACAATTGAATGCGTAGAACTTTTACCAACTGCCTGTAACCGAGACTGATTTTACAACACAATAGTAGACGATAATAGGTGTTTCCCCTTTTTTATGGCAACAAAACAGGTGTTAGGATGTTACAACACCAAACTGAAACCTTTTACAAGGAATCATGTCTGTATTAACCACAATACTTGTGGTTAGAATGCAACCAAAAAAACATACTCTGATAATATATGCATTGTCCTTGAAGCTGATTCGTCCACACCAGAGACAGCTTTCTTTTGAGCCTCGTCTTAAACGGTGTTAGACCAGAGGATGCCAAAAGGCGTACGAAAAAAAGGGTAAATAAAGGGGAAAACCTATTATAATGTTTTGGTACTGGCAAAGGAGATCCCATGACAGTAGTAGACAAATAAGAGTTTTAAAAAACCCTATATTTTCTAAATTGGTTTGTGAAATCAAGTAAGAACAAAAACAACTTCAATTCTGCCAAATTCTGCTTCGCTTTACTTCGCGCTGCTGATATGAACGAAATGTTTCGGGGTGAAATGTGTGCTTAACATGGAGTGGCGTAGCCATCCAGCAGTGCATTAGCAAGGGTTAAAAAAGACAAAGATGCAATGGGTGTTAGCTTTTAGTTAGTATGTCATTGTCACGATTAAGTTGTTATTTTTTAAACTACCGATGTTTCTAGTGTGAAAGAAGAGACCCCATGTGTCTCTTGCTCTATATCCGTATGCATTCTATCATTGCGTATGATGAGAGCGATATGCTCAGGAGCTAAATGCCATTGTCAAGGTCTGCTGCTGGCCACGGCGAGAGAGCTTCGGGAGAGAGTTTGTGTCGTTTTTGCTGTTCCTCCTCGGTTCAAGGGGGGCAGACCGCAGTGGGTTTACTGCACGGTCCGTAGTTTGGATTGCATGGGAGACGGTAACCCCTTCTCGCGGTGGCTCCACCTGTTACCTCTTCCCGTGTCACCTGAAACACAACTTATTCCGCCATCCAGGCGAAATTGGCGTCGTGAATGTAAACGTGCACGGCGGACATGGTCTGTGTGGTTAAACGACAGCTACAAGTGCCATTGTTACGTTAGTCGGCGTTGCCTTAGCAAGTAAAGTATTCGGAAGTTCGGTCTTCGTGATTACAACAGATGGGTACATCACTAGTTATTTTGTCTGTCGATGTGTATACCTGCATACACGTGTATGTGTGTGTGTGTGCCAGTGGAGGAGCGGTTGTGTATTGGTTAGCGCGCTGCACTACGAACCCGACGAACCGAGTTCGATTCCCGCTCACGGCCAACGCCGGTGACGATGATCTGAGTCGGTCCTGGGCCTCCTCTAGGTCGGCTCGGCCTCAAATAAGTACTTTGTGTATGGCGTTTAAACATCACCACTGGGGAGACAAAGGCGGCCGGGCGTGGTGTTGGCCACCCACCCCCTCGTGTGCCGTGCCGGCCTTCATAGGTGCTCGCTCAAAGCCCTTGCCCCACTAGTCTGTTACAGGCAAACGGAGTATCTTTGTTTGTGCCAGTGTCTGTCTATCTGGTGTCATCCTCATCGCTGATGATTGATGCCCACGGCGGATGCTTTCAGCCCTTGCGCTATCGTCAGCATCTCTCACGGAGAGCCCCAATCCGACTGATCGCATTGTCCCAACACACATTTTCCACGTGTATAATCATTCTCGCTTGTGAACACAACTGGCTTGTTTTGGTTTAGGCGGCGTAAAAATTCGTTTCGTAAAAAAACAAAACCTCCTCCACCCGACGCGGACAATTAATGCAAGTGTCACATGACTCAAACGTTGCACATTCACTGCTGCTGCAGCAACACAAACCAGTGTGGTGCTAAACGGTACATTAATTTGCCACGTTCCATTCACGTGACACTTTTTATGAATCGGCTGCGCTGGGGGGGGGGGAGGAAGATTTTACGACACATTTCTTCACTGCGACCTAACCCAAAAGAAACTAATGATGAATCGTAGTGTCCGTCGTGAAAGCCTACGTATGAAATAAAACAATAAAAATGTATTCGTTTTTAGTCTGTGCGGTGCTGTTTAAGCCACAGCTATACCCATAGTATGGTATGTAGCACCCCAGCCGGGAATCAAACTCGAACTTGCTGGGTTCATCGTCGTATTGCAGTGCGACACAACCACTGCGCCACCACTCACCCCCTTCATCTCATACACAGCACAGTGTTTTATTTGTGCGCTTTAGCAAAACACAGAAATGTTAAACCAAATTAAGCGAAAGACGAAATACTGTACAGTGTTTGTGCATTGGAGAACGGGCTGAGACCACGTAACTCACCGCACACTAGAAACCAAGTGCCCGTCCACACTCAACCGCAGAATCTGACCAGGCCTGGCCCAGTACTCGGACACGAGCGTTAACCTCACCTTCCTCTGCCACAACATTTTAAGCGTTCGTTAATCATCGTTTTGAGCTAAGATGTGTGCCACCCTTGCATGCGAATGGCAGGGTGAAAAAACAAAGCTGCGGTGATTTTTTTTCATCAATTCATTGCATTCTGTAAAACACATTTCAATGCTTTGGCAAAGACGCGGGCTGATTATGGAACTTCTCGCAGGAGTGAGCCACTGACGCCCCTTCAGTAATCCTCCTCCGGTGTCGGACGCTCACCCCAACTGCCCGCAAGTGGATCGTTGACCGTTGGAGCAATGGAAGTGAAGGCGACGTCCGGTTGAGGTGGGTGGGTGGGTGGAGGTCGCAGGCCACTAGCGGGACGTCCTTATGACGGAGGCGGCCGCCCACGGAGAGACGTAGAAATTGGTGGCCGAGGTGAGGCCCGTGACGAAGTAGGTCCAGCCACGCCGCAGGGCCCGGCCCACGTTCTGCGAAGAGTGGGGTACACGGCGGTTGTTTGGGTCATCGTCCACCCACAGCGTCATGGCCCAAATGTGCCAAATTTGATGCATCCCTCGCAAATTGTCTAACCGGGGATCGAACAACGTAGCATCATCGCACCCTAAGATTAAACTATTTAAACACTAAATAAACTATATATATTTTTTTTATTTACCAGGTAAGGCCCACTGAGCTATGTAGCTGACGTGGGCACGAAATATAGATCAATAAAGTGGCTTATCACGTGGAAATGTATATCAGCCAAATACTCTAAACGCACGTTTAATACATGTGGCGGGAACAAGCGGGTACTCAGAGAAAAATTCACGTGCCCACGTGGAGATCCTGCAAACTTCAAATATACAACAGCAGGCGTCAGGGTCGGGATCATACGACCTCCTGCATACCAGACGAGGGAGTTAACATCTCGCCACTGCGGAATACAATGCGTCCGATCTCATAAGATCATGGAAGTGAAGCGGCCATGCATCTGGATAGTTTTTCAGATGGGTGATCACAATGCTTACTTAAAAGGTGTCATAGGCTGTGTGACTATGCTCTGCAAAACCAGGCAACAGTGCAGCAGCATCCCACGGTTGTACTCGACTATGCTTCCATATCGTAGAGTACAACACCCCGTACTGACCAGCATGGTGAAGTATGGTCAAGATAACCCCCACACACAACTCGCACGGCGTATGAAGGTTCCTCGTGATGTTGAAAGTCACTTATGTGCATGTACAATGTTTTTTTTGTGTGTTTAGGTGGTGTCGTGGTGGTGTAGTGGTGAGGGCACTGCGTTGCGGACCTAGACGCCCGAGTTTGATTCCGCACCTTACGAGCCATCACCAGTGACGAATAATTGAACCGGTGCTGGGCCTCCTCGAGGTCCACTCGGCCTTAAACGAGTGTACCTGGTGCGTCGTGTAGACATCACCGTCGGGGATAACAAAGACAGCCGAGCGTGGTGATGGTCACATCCACCCACAACCTCGTGTGCTGTTCCCGCCTTACTTAATAGGGTGCTCGCGAACAGCACTCGCCCCAGGTCTTTTCAAGGCTACACGGAGGATCTTCGTCTTTTTTTGTTTGTCTCGTAAGTAGCATTGCACGTGTAGACGCGTGTTGCGCTGCGGTGCACGGTATCACGTCTGCATTGTCACCGTCGCGTATTCGTGCACAGATCATTTGAATCCCTGCCTGCTGTTATCTTTAATTCACACCATTACTTCTGGGATGTTCTCAAAATAGCATGAACGTGTTGTTGCGAAATGAGCATGCCGTCTTACCCGAGTTGAATTTAGTAGTGTCGTATTCTCCGATTTATAAGACCAACTTTTTCAGATAAATTTATCTTAAAGCAAACAAAGCATTTGTGTGGGATCCGCACGTCTTACTTTGCGATGCGTCTTTTACTCCAGACAATACGGTAGATGTATATATCAGTACCATACCCTGAAGCGTAAATACGTTATGAACTAACACTTTTAAAGAGAAGATTGAACTCACCATCGTTCATTGTTAGAGAGAGAAAAAGACCCACGGCTTGTGAACTCAAATTCTCACGTGAATACGTCAGGATTAAGCCTTAAAATCATGAATAAGTGAATGTAGATCAACGTGAGAGAGTGAGAGAGAGAGAGAGGGCATCGGAATACAAGACTAAGATCCCCCGAATAACCTTGAACAGACTCCTGCAAGCAGCACCTAAGACAGCCGGGCACGCCACACGAAGGGGCCAGCACCAAGCCGGGCCATCTTTGTCTCCCTCGTGGAAATGCTTTTACACAACGCACCAGATACTCATTTTGAGGCTGAGTCGACCTAGGCAATGCCCAGGCCCGGTACAGATAATCGCCACTTGGTGTCGGCGGCTCGGTAGCGCAGCGCGCTCCCCGCCACACTACCGCTCCCCATCAGGTCGTCATCACAGACCGACAAACGAGACGCACAGGCACACACAGACCTTCCTGTACTTCTTGTGCTTCTCTTTCTTCATCCGCCTCCTCTCCTCCTTCTCCTCGTCCGTCACCAGCTGCTCGTACCTGTCGGGCAGCGCGGCGATGTTGCCCAGCCTGGCCCGAGCACCCCCGGGGGTGCCCTGCCCGTGGAAGCCGTCAGCCCAGACCGCCTGCCAGCCGGGCTGCCCCGCGTCTCCCCCGAGCTCACGGTCCCGCGGAGCGAATGCGCTGTTCTCGAGCCCTCGAGATCCACTCTCCTCCTCCTCCCCCTCCTCCTCCTCCACCTGCTCCTCCACCTGCTCCTCCACCTGCGCCTGCTCCTCTCGCTGCTTCTCTCTACCCTTCTTGGCTCGGCGCAGCGAGAACAGCTTCTTAAAGCCCTTGCCGCCGACCTTGGCGTCGTCCCGCTGCAGCTCTTTGCTGATACCCATGACCGTGAATGACGACGATGACGGTATGGTGGATATCTAACGCGGTGCAACTCTCGGCACGCTTCACGGTGCGTCGGCCGCACGGACTCTTGGAATGCGAGCGACCGCCAGTCACCTGCCTACAGCGTGAGACGTCTTGCGGCAAGGTGAACGGGAGGCGCTTCCGAAATTCTTGGCTTTAGACCCCTTCTGTCATGACAGCCCTGCGCGTGCGTGCATCCCACACTCAGCCGTCTACGCCGGCCCGCCTGACGGCAACTAGCATTGTTTTGACAAAGTCCGAAGCAAGTGTGTCGACATCACTCGATCGAGGCTGCTGACGCTGTTGCTGCTAGCTGGCTGAACTTTGGAATCCTGAGCCGACCCCCCCACCACCACCCACCCCGTGACCGAGTTTAGGGCGTAACCGACCACGTCGCTCCGAGTGAGGAGGTGATGCAAGAAACAAAGACAATGATCTCTCCCGAGTGGAGCCTGTAACAGGCTGTCGGGCGCAAGCGCTGTTAGCGAGCAGCACCTTGTGACGGCAACACGAGGCGGGAGTGGGATGGCCAGCGTCACGCCCGACCGCCTTTGTCTCCCTCGTGGCGATGTGTTTTTTTTGTTTGTTTTGTTTAACACATCGTACTCGGTGCGTAATTGAGGCTGAGTCGACCGAGGGGAGGCCCAGGACCGCTGCAGATTATCGTCACCGGTGTTGGCCATGAGCGGGAATAATACTCGTGTGGGCCGGGTTTCATTTGCGCAGTGCGCTCACCGCTCCACTTCTGCGCTACTGCGCTCACACACGCGACCACACAGGTAACAGGTAGGCAGGCAGGCAGGGAGGGACAAAGGCTTTGTTATCCCGACCCATGTCTGCGCAGATTAATAGCTCGCTGCCTGGGTAGTTGACTCAGCCAATCATCACTCGCTCCGGTACAATAAGTACCACTTTGTGGGAAAGTCAACAGCGCTGTCCTACCAGACAGTCTCGTCCCTTCACCTGATGAAGGCCGCTTGTGTTGTGGCCGAAACGTCGTGAGAATATTATTGTGTTATTTTATTTTATCAATTTATTATTTTATTCTCATTCTACGTGACTTTACCGAAAGAACCAAAGAAGATGAATCCTTGCAGTCACGAAAGCTTTAAATCGAAATTTAAGTCAACAGCGGTTAAAATATATTTTTTTTACCAAGTAAAGCCCACTGAGCTATACAGCTCTTATTTCAGAAGCGACCTGGCCACAAATGATAGCTCAACAAAGTGACTTATTACGTGGAAATGTAAAGCAGCCAAATACCCTAAACGCATGTTTGTAAATGTGGAGGGAAAAACCGGGGACAGAGACACGCAGACTCCAAATATACAGCAGCAGGCGTCAGGGTCGGGATCGAACCCACGACCTCCTGTATACCTGGCGAGGTAGTTAACATCTCCTAGCCACCGTGATGATGAGAGAGAGACACGCAGACTCCAAATATACAGCAGCAGGCGTCAGGGTCGGGATCGAACCCACGACCTCCTACCTAGCTGGCATCTCGCCACCGCGGCGCCCGATTGACCTATGCATAGGATGGACTCGCCCCCCGTCATACAAATGTGGAATTTCCACCACTGCCTTAGAGCTTGTGAATATGACGGGGGCACCGCCTTAATTGACATTTGAGTAGGAGTTCACATTGTTGCGTGCGTAAATATACATGTGGATATGGTGGGCCATTGTTTGAGATGGATACCACAGCGCCCTGCAGGGTTCGAGTCTCAGGAAGACCGATCATGATGTAGCGCTGTGCTTAAATATGAGCCCGGGAGTCGTAATTGAAATGATGCGGTCTGCGCTCCTTGAACGGAGGAACAGCGAAACGACACGAGCTCTCTCCTGAAGCCCTCTCGTCGTGGCCAGCAGACCTCGACGGTGGCATTTAACTCCTGAGCATTCTGATACCATTCACAAGAATATAACATAATTATATGCAACGTTTAGGGTTGGAGATGGGGAGGGGGTGGGGTTATACTGGGTATTTAATACACTTTATTATACTCGGTGAGAAACCATCATCATTATTATTTATTTAGCGTCGTGTGAATTTACATCGGGCGAGCCGGGTCGTCGGAGCAGCTTCATCATTTGCAGAACGGCGGCGTTGGCGTTGTCAGACCGACGCTCGGCCTGGTGAGCGACGTTGTGAGTCGTCGTCCGTCTTCCAAAGCGCGTGCAGATCGGGTCGTTTGCGTCATCCCCGCCACCTACAGGTTCGCTGCCACACAGCCCCTCGGAACCGGCTGAGCAAGGCCCCCCCCACCCCACCGGTCACTGTGCCGAAGATCAAACCCAGCTGGGCGGGCAGGAGGGCGAATCGTCGGGTCAACCACGGCGAGAGGCCACTCGGTGACTTTGCTCACGACACGTGCTGGGCCATGCCACGTGCGTCCAGTCCACACAGTTAGCGGATGCCGATGATTCCATTCTATTCTCGCGCAATGGCAGCAAATGTGTTCGGCAGCCGAATTCCAATGTCAGGAGCAGAATGTTTGCCAGAACGCGGAGCCAGGGGGGATTTGGTGTCGGTTTCAGCGTTCCAGTTATTCACAACAGAGGTTGTTGGGTTAGATCGCGTAAATATAAACGTCGATAAATCCGCCACCACCCGACACAGCCACTTAGTCAGGGTTGTCACGTAAACAAAACATGCCAATTCGTTACTAGTTCAGATTATCATTGCGGTTATGATTGCACGTTGCATCATTTAATTGTGCATCTAGCGAAGGTTGCTTTATGAGCTCCCGGACCAGGCTGGAGCACAAATCCAGTAGATGAGCGAGAGTGCAGCGCCTCGCGGCACATCAGACAGACCGGGCCAGCGGGCGTGTGGCGAAAGAGATGGACTTAACAGCGACCCACCGAAGGAGGGGGGGGGGGGGTCGGTGTTTTGTGGCTCTTCTCCCCTTAGCTTACCGGTCACAGCCTCCCGGAGAGGACACGTGGAAGGGAAGCTAAAACAATGTTGATCAAAACTGGCGTCCGAAGGGTCGTCGGGAGTAAGGTCGCAGAGTTCCTGAGACGGCGGTGTCGATGCGCATTGACCGAATGTAACAACAGGCTTGGTGTGCGACGACCGATCGGAGGCAATCTTCTGAGAAAGCCCCACGGTGAGACCGGTGTAGACAAGTGACAACAATCACAGCACAGACGGGGAGAGGTGAGGCACGTCGCGTTCGTGAAAGCCCAAACTCAAAACAAACTCATGGGAATTGTAGCTGGGTCAGGACAGGCTTTGCGTGGGCGAAGTGTCCCCAAAGCCAAATAGAACGGAGAGCAGACGAGACGAAGTTGTGTCTACGCATGTATGTTGAACTTCTTTCGCACAGTACGTAGCCAACGGTGCTAATCGAGTTGTAAACAACGGGGCAAAAAAAATCTGCTACAGATAAGGAAACAATATGTCCAATAAACGACAGTGCTTCCAACAAGAATAACTGCGTGCAGCATTTTTGTTTTGTCGCGGACTGTCCTCTTATCCCCTGTGAGAGAACAGTGTAGATATAATCGCATTCCAGTTGGGAGGCCTCGAGGCACAGGAGGCCTTAGTCTGTAATATTACCTTCATAGCAGCAATGATCGGAGAAAGTGGCTCAGCGGTTAGGACACTGCACTGCGACCCCAGCAACCCGAGTTCAATTCCGCAAACCGTGCGATATTTAAAATTAATTCCGGGACTCAGACCTTTTACGAAAGGAAACCAAACCGAACAGCGTGGTAAACGGTGCCATAGGCTGGTTGGGGCGATGGTAGCCGAAGGAGGTAAACGCATCCGAGATGACCACCACAGATACGGAGCAATGAGAACGGTTCGCGTGCAGGAGGAGGTGGATCGTGGCATCGCGGAACGCTGCGCGAGGTGGTGGCGGCATGGGGACGCTTTGACACAGCAGTGGGTGAAGGGCTGATTATCGAGAGAGAGAGGAAAGCGTGCAGGACATTTGCACAGCAATTCTATCGTTCAGCCTCTTTGGAATCAAGGGAAATCCAACTGCTCTGTTGTTTGAGATGGTGGCGGCTTGGAGGAGACCTTCATCCAGCAGTGTATTGACCCTAGCTGATGACTAAAAATCAGAAATTCTGAGTTCTTTCTTGTTTAGAACCCGTTGAAACGCTACCAATGCCTCCGCTAAAGCCTCACGTTTGCGCAAGTAAAAATAGCGTTTCAATCTCTCAAGCGATCAAATGTGCGCGTCACGGAGCAAACGTCGAAGGAATCAGAAAAGTAAAATTAAATCTCGGATATACTGATTCACGGTGCAGTCGAAGATTGTCGTAATTTGCTGGTCACGGTCACAAAGTGCATGATGGCGAACTGGTGTGAGGGCAACCTGCAGTGCTCATATCGTCGCAAGGGGAAGTGAAGCGATGCCAAGCGAGGTAGAGCACATGTTGCACCCCTGTACACACTGTCTGTATTCATATGATGCTGATGGGGTGAGATATTTACGTGGGTCGCTGCGGTGTCGAGATGTTGACTACCTCGTCTTGTTTTGATTTAAAGCTTTCGTGACTGCAGTAATTCATATTCTTAGCTCTTTCGGTAAAGTCACGTTGAAGGGAAACAATACAATAATAAAATATATAAAATAAAAATTCTCACGACGTTTCGACCATAACACAAACGGTCGTCATCAGGTGTGTTTGTGTTATGGTCGAAACGTCGTGAGAATATTTATTGTTTTATATATATTTTATTGTTGTTGTTTCCCTTCAACGTGACTTTACCGAAAGAGCTAAGAATATACCTCGTCTTGTGTACAGGATGTCGTGGGTTCGATCCCGACTGACACCGGCTATATATTTGGAGTTTGCGTGTCTCTCTCTCTCTTCCCGTGGTGGCATCGATTTTTATCCGGGCACTCCCGTTTTTCCCCCCTCCACATTTAGAATTAACACGCGTTGACAGCATGTGGCTGCTACACATGTCCATGTGATATAAGCCACTTTGTTGAGCTATCGTTTGTGGGCAGGTCGCTTCTGAAAAAAGATCTAAACCGCGCAGTGGGCCTTACCTGGTAAAATAAAAAAATTGCAAATAGTTCTTGGAGCTAAAATGAAGCAAAACTTTGTGAATTATCGGAATCAGAGGTTTATTTTCCAGAGTCAAGCCCATTGAGCTAAGAAGCTTTTTTTAAGGGTGACTTAGCTCGGGGTGACAGCAAAATTAAGCACAATGTGCGCATATACGCTTAATAAATTCACATTCGTGTTCATCTTTACTTGAAACATGCGGTCACACCTCTAACTTTTTGACTTTTTAGAGGAATTGTTTTTACCTCATCATGCCAAGATAAAAATTTCCATTTTGACAATTATCAGGCATAAGCAATCAACCGGTCACGTCTCGACTTGCATTGCAATGGCAAATAGATGCAATGGCAAATAGATGAAAACTTAAATGAAATTTGCATCATCGACAAAATGTTTCATTAACGTTTTTTTACAAACTCCTTTTCGAGTACATCTAATGATTTTTTGGCCAACCATTTCTCTTGCCAGAGCTTTAACGGGTGAGCCCATGACATGCAGGATGTCTTATAATTGTTGTTGTAAGTCACCGGGTGCTTACAACATTCTCTTATGCATGTAGTTAGACGTGTGTGAAAAGACGAAGATCACCAGACCACACAGAAGTCGAGCTTCTGTTAACGCCTGATGATGCTGGTTGTAATCTCCAGCAAGAATGTCGTACATAATATTGTCAAAATGTCCTCGCTTATCACCAACCCTCTTGTTTGCTGATAAACTAAATCAATTGGCATTATTTACCCACGTAACTTTTTTATTGGCTCGGTCACGTGGATGGTCTAACCCAGTAGTAACAAATGACACAAACTTCAATGTTTGCAAACGTACAAAAAGTCACAAGTGTCAGCAGCAAATTTCATTCCAGCATTAATAAAACACACCACGTGGGTTTCCACTTGGCAGAGAAAACCTCCAGTTTGAGACCACGCACTCAACGGATTTTCTCGCAAAAGACGACACGAAGCTCGGCTTTAGGCGAATTTTGTATTTGCATAATTTATGCACAGACCTCCGACTTGAAGGGATTGGCTACGTTCGCTGCGAAAGAAGTTTAACATACGGTACATACACGTGTTCACTTAACAGCAAAAACAACCCTCAGTACTCTATATTCTTGGTTCGTTCGGTAAAGTCACGTAGAAGGGAAACAATAAAATAATAAAATTATAAAACTCTTGCTGTGGGTTTCACACCTGATGATGATTGATTGTGTTGCAGTCGAAACGTCGCGAGAATTTTATTGTTTTATATTTTTATTATTTTATTGTTTCCCTTCTACGTGACTTTCCCGAAAGAACCAAGAATATGAATCCCTGCAGTCACGAAAGCTTTGAATCCTCAGTACTCTATTAATAATTAGCATTGCCTTGAAGCACAAAACTGTTGGCTCCCGTTTTGTCCGATGTAAATGATTATTCACGTTGTGTTTTGAGTCGTGCCAGCACAGCAACGGACAATGGAGTCTGGTAAAAAAAAACTTTTAAACAACCAGATTTTCCAGGTTTGCTCATTGTTCCATTATATCCTTACCAAGTCAACACTCCTGCAAAGCTTAATGAAACTGCAGTTTATTTACAGATATTCACACTTTCAGTTGTGCCTCACTGAATATTCAAACGACAATTATCTTGCGGTCACTAAACCAATTTTTACTTGCAATTGCACAGAGGTAAAAGTGCCCTTGCATAGGCTTAGGTTCAACAACACGCGAAACGTGTACCGAGTGTACAGCCATCGGTCTTAAGCATCTTGCAAAACCACCAGTTTCTGCAGAACTTTGTGGGCATCTTATCCCAATGTCACCGTTATTAAAGTGCGCAAACAGGACCAGCCCATCGAACAGAGCTCACCGTAGGCCGGTTTGGTGCTGAATCGCACTCGCCAGGGTGTTGTCGAAGCGATTCGTTTTCCGGCCGGCACTAACATCTGTTGCCAGGGGGGTTTTCTCATCATTTGCAGATCTCAACGATCGCAAATACCACAATAAACACGTATGAGAAATCAGCGTTGAAAATTAATTTACTAACCAGTATAGAGCGAGTTTACAGAAACCAAAGTAGAATAAATCATACCACATACATCTCTTACGACACAATCCATGTTCTGACGGTTGGAGCACATGCAAAACAACGCACAAAACGTAATATCGGTGTGGGATATTAGACGATGGATGACAATTTTGACTTCAAAATGAGCAATGTTGGAAATGGTCAAAATCCATTTCTACAATTTGTGTAGATGACCGAATGGACAAAATCATGCAAAGTGGCACAGCATCGCCCTCGCAGAATCATTCCTTACCCACGAGGCCTCGTCATTGTCCCGGGGTAAGGTGCACATATCTTGGCAAGGGAAGATTAAAAAAAAATGTAGATAAACTGCTTCAATTTTTTTTTGTTTATTCATCCTAGGAAGGTTGGGAGTCTCAAGACTCCGACGTGTCCTACGTTGGGACGTTTGTCCATTTCTACCGAGTGTTCGTGTGCGCGATGAAACTGAAGCATTCGTGGAACACTGCAAGGCTCACGACAGGCTTCACAACCCCCCATAGATTTACTCCCCCCCCCCCGAGCCACCTTGCAGCCCCAGTGCGTTTGGAAGTCCCACAAATCTGCACGATTCGCCAACCTTTTTCCCTCAAAATCAATCACAGGCATCCGCCACGACGCCTTATCTTATATTACAAAAGGAGGCACACACTTTAAAATAGCAATTAAATTCATCATAACATAATCTAGTGGCACTCAATTAACAGTGTGGCATATTTTTGTTCAAGTGCCATCAATAATAATGTTAAAAGCAAACCGTAAAATAAAAAAAATGCTAATCACTAAAAGTTAAAGTATCATGTAGGCCTGAGAGATTCATGCAATTCATTCAAAACAATCGGGACAATGTGTCCATTCATGACAGTGTTAAATGCGTTAACTTTAAGGTGTTTTTTTGCTTGTTTTCATGTAATTTACTGAGTTCTGGGCACCGATCTGGCCAGGACGGGGCATGGACATGGCCACCTCCCACTTTTCACCATGCAAACCGATTAGCACGGTTGATTGGTTGGTTGGTCTACGTACGGTGCGGGAAAGAGGTTCAACAAACATACAGAGCACAGACGAGATATGTTCGAGACGAGTAAACAATCAAATGCTTCACCATACAGACCCCCCCCACATAACAATCATGGATGGGTCACTTCGAGTCTTGCCGCCTATTGCTGTTATCAAATTTGTAAATAAGCTAGCACTGCACATTGCTTAGAATATGCCCAGGGCCACACCATGGCCCTCTTAATTCAAGAGGTCCCTTAAAGAATAAACTCTTCCACTCGTGAAGGATAACATCGGGTTTTCAGTCCAAGTTGGAGAAACCGGGCTGGTCAATTTACATTCCCTGGGTTTAACCAAGGCATAGCCTGCACGTACATTGAATATCATTCGCACCGTACGTAGCCAACCGTGCTAATCGGAGGTGCTGGGGAAAGGACAACAAAAAGAGATCCTGCCATATCTAAGGAGATACTTACTACAGTCTTGGTTCTTATTGTTTCCCTTCTACGTGACTTTACCGAAAGAACCAAGAATATGAATCCCTGCAGTCACAAAAGCTTTAAATCAAAAGAGATACTTACTATTCAAAAATGGAAAACGGTGCATCTTCTTTGGTTCTTTCGGTAAAGTCACGTAGAATGAGAATAAAATAATAAAATAAAATAACACAATAAAATTCTCACGACGTTTCAGCCACAACACAAGTGGCCTTCATCAGGTGAAGGGACGAGACTGTCTGGAGGACAGCGCTGGAGCGAACACAGCCAAGCTCAGACCGCGACCTTTAAGCTGTGTGAGAGGAAACAGAGCGCCTTGACAAAGGAATTAGCATAAAAAATGAGCATTTAATTGGCGGACTTAGCATGATGAACGGTGTAGAGGGGGTGAACATGTGCAGACCGGCGAGGGGGGGAGGGGGAGTTTACATATTGATGGTGTGAAAAGGGAATTTAAGCTGCTGCGAAAGTTTGGGATACTACTTGAAAAAATATACTGTACCATTGAAAATTAGTTTAATGTTTAGTTCGGATAATTTAGCATTAAAATAGCTGAGTGATTAGCTTGTGACTGGTCACATAAATTAGGGGGTTTGTATAATAATGAAACGATCTGATACATTAGGAAGACAAAGCATTTAAATACACTCTTCTTCTTTCGCATGGCCGGTGTAGATGCAGAGCAACGACTACAAATTCATGCTCAGGTCGGTCAAGCCAGACAACCGCGTCAGGAGCAGCGGAGTGCATCGTCGCTGCGATGTTTCCTGTGTAAGACAACACCGTTATAGGCCATGGAATGGAAAGAAATAATATTTCAAGGCGCTTCAAATATTTATTGGCGTCATTACACTTCAACGTACATACAAGGGCCTCGTTCTCGAATTGTTCGCACGGTGCTCGTTCAGCGTTTGCTGTGGCAGTGCACGCTGCCATCGGAATTCTACAAACAGTCCCCACTCAAAAAATTAAATCATTCGCTCACTTCTTCCTTGAAAAGACAATGGCGGCTTTTCAAGGAAGAAACAAAGGGGTACGCAATTAGTGAAAGCGGAAAACACGGCCTCACGTCGCCATCACAAACGCTCATTAACAGGCAACCACTCGAGCTCACCGCACACGACAATCATAACTTAAGATTCAATCCCAGCGACGGGGGAGTTGGGGGGGTCAATCGCTCGAGGCTACCGTCGTCGCGGGGTCAAGTTCGGCCGCCAGCTTCTCCACGTCGTTCAGCATGCCGTCGAAGTACCCGTCCGCGTCTCCCTCGGCCGCCTCCTGCCGCGCCAGACGGCGGTACTCGTCGCGGAGCAGCGCCAGCCTCCGCGCCAGCGCGTGGCTCCGCTCCGGCTCCAGGAACGCGTCGCGGCACGCGGGCATCAGCGCCAGCACGGCCGCCAGGGCCTTCTCGCGCGAGTCGTGGTCGGGGCTGGCGTCGCCATCGGACAGGAGGGGCGCCGCCATGTCGCACCAGCCGAGCGAGGCGAGCGCCGGCGCCAGGGCCATGCGGCGGTACTGCTCCAGGCGCTCGGCGTGCCGCTCCCGCTCAGTCTCGTCACCGGAGGTCGACTCCAGCTGGCTCTGCAGAGGTGCGCGGAGAGAAAGGGGGGGGGTGGTGGGTACACGCAAGCAGCCGTGTGATGCGCACGTCTGAAGGCTTCTGCACACATTTGTTAAAGAGCTTCACGGCTCATCGGATTCCTTCTTCAATCCGAGTGAAGATTCTGAGATTCTGCGCTTGTGCGGGCAGGCGTTGGGGGGCAGACTTCACCCGTTTTGCGATGTTCAGCACCGCAAACGGGACAGCCTCTCGAAGGCAGGATGTTTCGAATAAAAAGCGCTCGTCATCGGAGAGCAGCAAAGCGAGCAAGCGGGGCGGGCGCCGCACGTCGTTGGCGACGGGCCATTTCACCTTCTCGTTGAGCATGTCCCCGATCAGCGTCAGCACCTTGAACCTCAGCGAGCGCGTGCCTTCGCCGTCGAAGATCCGGCCGAGCGCGGAGAGGCCGCCCAGCGACAGGAAGCGCTGCTGCGCGTACGGGAAGTGGCGCAGCGCCGCCGCAAGGGCGTACAGCGCCTGCGGGTGATCGAGGAACGGAGAAGGGGGGGGGGGAGGAAAAAAACAAAAACGGCTCGAGGCTTCAGACAAAACGGGATGAGCCCCCCGCGGTGGCTGTGCTTGGAAACACAATCCAATTCTGGGCTGGGTTCCTTCCTTTTTTGCTTCACTGTTTTTTTATTTTTCTTTTTTCCAGGAGGAAGTCAAGACCTCTGGTGAAGCAGCACATGGGAAATAATGATTTTCAAGATGTGGGGAAATTATGATCGTTTTCATTCAAAATGCTGTGGGACCTACAATTCTTCACATTAATATAGCAGTCCCTGGGTTTACGTTTTCAGTCTGTTCCACAAAAACTACTGTTTACCAATATAACTGTTAATAGAATTCACTTTTATAAGTTGAAAACTAAGTAAAAATCAGAGTCTGCAAGAGAGCTGTTTCCACTGCCAAAACAGAAAACAATGTTCACAAAGCCAGTCGAGGTCTACACTCTCATAAATGGGCGGCGTCGATTAGCCGATGGCATGGCTCAGCCTCACGAGCATTCGAATTGGCCGAAATTGGCACCCGCGTGCATAACGTAAACTCACCGTTAATCATAATTTCAACATTAGTCGAAACCATGGAGGGTCCTATGGGAGGCGAACGTTAACCGATGTCACTGTCAACCAAGGGGCTACTGCAATACAATTAGTATCCATACTCTTTGGTTCTTTCGGTAAAGTCACGTAGGTATAAAATAAATTAAATCACGACGTTTCGGGTGCAACACAAGCGCAGAGGTAAAACCCATTGGGCAAGAAACGCTCATTTTTAATGGAGACCTGGGTTACATTCAAACAGCACAAGGTTATCCACAGAGGTGCTATCCTTTCACAAACTGTTATCAGAATATCCCCAACGATGCATGATTAAAAGGTCTAAGTTAAATTGTGATTGTGCCACGTAATTATGGCTCGCATGAAGGCAGTGGTGTCTTGAAGCAGCTGGCCAGCTAAGAGGAACAATACTACGCCTGCGTGACCCAGTCACTTTGAGTTCAGGGTTTGAATCCAGCTCTCCTGATAAGTTAAACAAAAATTGTTCACAGCTGGAAAAAAACGTTTAGTTTCAGCTCGATTGCCAACTAAACAAGAACCCCCCCAACTGGGCTCCGATTATGCCGAGTTGGAAGCGTGCACTCGTATTCAGTGATTTAAGACAAAGCTGAACACTTATTAACCACAATTCAGGGACAGACGGTAGTGGCTGTATATAAATAATTCGGCACACCGTGGCTTTCGTGCAAGTTATATCTGGGTACTGGACAAATTTAGCACAATTAGAAAAAGGTCTGAAACAAAACATTTTTTTTATTTTACCAGGTAAGGCCCACTGAGCTATATAGCTCTTTCAGCTTTCATCATATCGAAAAATCATATCGAAAAATCTAGCAGCCAAATACTCTAAACGCATGTTTCTAAAACGTGGAGGCAAAAACCGGAGGACCCGGAGAAACATCCCAACTCCAAATTTCCACACGTCAGGGTCGAGGTCGAACCCACAGCCTCCTGAATACCAGGCGACGTAGTCGACACCTCGGCGCCATGTCAAAGTGTGCCCCACTCCAGCGTACGGTAGAGGCCTTCACCTTTCCGCTTACAACCCGGAGCCCTTGGTGCCATTTCCACATTCCCACAGTGGGGACCGAGCGCCGTTGACTTTCCGCAAAGTGGTACCCCCAGAGAGATAAACAACCGTGTCGATCCCAGACCAACAACGAACCATTGATTGCGCGAACAACTCTGGCTATCGACTGATGATGCTGGTTGTAGTTACCGGGGAAACGTCATGCTCTATTGCAAATGTTGCGAGTTTACGCTCCAACACACCGGGGGGTGTGCTAAACTAGTAACGAATTGGCATGTTTTGTTTACGTGACGAACCTTACCAAATGGCTGTGTCAAATGGCGGCGGGTTTAACAGCACATTGATATTTACACGATCTAACCCAAAAGACCAATATTTTAGATAATATTAGACGTGTTAAACCGCGGTCCCAAAAGCCTACATGTTAAACTGCGCAAACCCCACCAAGAAAATCTTAAAATGACTAGTTATACTTTATACATTCACAACCATCAGATGGTGATCACTTCTAAAGATGGCAGTAACAAATATATATATCTTTCTGCGGAGCTGAAGAAAGTGAATTCGGCAACATTTTTTTTATCGCAGCTGAGGAGAATGCAAACAATCTCTTGCTCAAACATTTTTCGAAATTTACTCTTTAGTATCTTTCAATGGCCCCTCTTCTTCACAAGCGAACAAGATCGTTTACAAACACAACACCTGATAAAAAAAGTTGCGCACAGTAAAGGACACCCCCCTCCACCCCGGCTAAAGTAATTTGCCTGAACTTTGTGCCAGATTCTTGGTTTGCCTACATCAAGCCGAGTGAAAAATACTACGCAGCAGAAAATGCAGCTCAGGTAAACTATTTAAAAATGGCACATTTGCTTAGGGGTTTTTTTAACACTCATTATTCCAAACAAATACTCATATAATAAATTTGACCATGGGATCCATGATTATAATTTCCACCATTTGAAGATTCCCAGTGGCTGACAAATTGGAATCATGGCCATTCTGAGTAGCTACAACCAAGGCCACATTTGGCTCCACTTCATCTCGAAAAGTGCGTGCGATCGAGACAACACTGCTTCGAGACAAAGTGCACTTGGTCATTGATCCAAAGCAGCGCATTTACAAAACTACCTCCATAAAAAGCAGGTGACATCACCACCTTTACGTACGCCTCAAAAAGGTATGGTTTGCTATTTTAGTGTCTTAGAGATGCACAAATCACCACCGTCAAACAGCAGACAGTGTGCAGTCTTGCCAGCATGGAAGAGTAGGGCCAATGTACCCTGTCTAGAAGGAGGCTCTCTAGAGATACCTCTAGTGCAGGCCCATAGCCAGGTGGGTGGTGGCAATGCACACCTGTAATCCAGCACTGTGAAGGCGAGGGTTGTTGGATCGTACAAATCTTGCGAAACTCCCTTCCCATGGTTGTCAAGGTGTATGGGATAGCGTTTCCCCTTCACACGTATGGCTTTTCTGCAGGTGCTCCGGTTTCCCACCGCATATGAACGCCCGTAAAAAAAAAAAAAAATCGGCCGATAAACAACACCTCAATATATCGAGGACCGCAGGAGCTTGGGAAATTTTTTGGTGCCGGCTCATCGCGTGGCTGCTTTACTGCATGTGCGTGGTTGCTCCTCGCGCCTACGAATCCTCCTCTCTCCGCGCGAGCGGAGTGAGCACTGTGCGGTGGTACCGCGTTACCGAGTTGAGCGTTATTCTTTCGTCAGCAGGGTCAGGAGCAAACAATTGCTGGGATGCACCTTTCCCCGAGGAACACGAGGGAGTGATCCTAGAAACTTAAAACATGCCGGCCAAGTGCGCCGGCACAACCAATGAGGAATCAACGAGCCATTCATAGCGGTCGAGTTGACCACCAGGTAAGGCCCTCCGAGCTATGTAGCTCTTTTTTTCAGAAGCCACCTGGCCACAAATGATAGCTCAACGAAGTGGCTCGTCGGGTGGAAATTTATCGAAGCCAAATACTCTAAACGCACGTTGATTCTAAATGCGGAGGGGAAAAAAGGAGCACCCGGAGAAAATCCCACACGACCGCGGGGAGAACATGCAAGCTCCATATATACAGGCGTCGCGTTGGAAATGAACCCACCACCTCCTGTGTACCAGGCGAGGTAGTTAACCCTTTTCCATTCCGAGACATCTGCAAGTTGCAGGGTGGTCCTGTTCACCACCTAATCTCGGAATGTGCAAGCAGTTCAGTGTTAATTTAATTTAGAGAGGCGTAGCACAGTTGTTTTTAAAGATACTGTACTCACCGCAGAGAACTATAGCAACACGGCCTCACTCTACGATAGCTGGCGCCAAACTGTGCCACGCGCGCCCTCCCGCATGGCCTTGCGGGAGCCTCGGTACCGATAAAGTTATTTTATTTTTTTCTTCCGATTCCCAATGGGAAAGGGTGAACATCTCGCCACCAGGGCGAGTTCTGCCTGAAGGGTCCGCGCACCTTCTTGGTGACAGGCAGCTGCTGCTCTGTGGCGAGGGCGGTGACGAGCTTCTGCAAGAGGCCCCCATCCACTGCCTCAACCTGCACCGGAGGATTCCTGCAGAAGCAGCAGCAGCAGCAAAGGCAGACAAGGCAGCTGCAAATCACATCGACGATAAATGCGAACAAAATTACGTACCCTGGAACACAATATCCCCATAGACAGTGCTACAGAAAGACAAGGCAAGTGGGGGTGCTTCAAGCTACACCTCCGATTAGCACGGTTGGCTATCTACATAAGTATTCGAAAGACGTTCAACATACGTACACAAGCCACTTTAACGAATGTTTCACAAAAAAATGTCTGGCGATGTCGGCAGGAGAGCTGCAATTCAAGAATGATCAGCAGATGCCGTCTCGGGATGCAGAGGATCCTGAAAATGCTGTAGTTTTTTTCTCACTCAAATTGTCCGAAGTTATAATTTGATCCCAACATTTCAATTGCTTTGAGCTTTTGTTTTCGTTCACTATGATGTGATCGAGTCGTGGCTTAGACAGAGCCACAATTTTCACCTTACGTGCCCTATGTTATTGTGCTAAACACTCAGGGCTTATGACACTACGATTCCATTTACAATTTTAATTTGTTCTCTTACAATTAAAAAAAGATTAGGATACTGAGCAACCTACACAACAAATAACGACATCGTGTATTTCGAATAACACAAAATATAAAAGAAAACTATCAACCATCGAGTCACAGTCGTGACTCCAGCCAAGTGAAGAATTGAAAGGCCGCGACTCCAATCATCAGTGACAGCACATATAACTGTGACTATACACAAGACAAAAAACTTTTCGCCAAATATGGCACTGTCAGAGCTGTTCCCAGATGCTGCACTGCCACTATTGACGCAATGGAGGCAAACTAGGTACTGCACCTTCTGTTTTTTTTTCCAAGTTGCAATGAGGTTTTGATGTCAGAAAAATTGGAAGGGGTCCAAGAGGCAATTTCCTTTTCTGAATTTGTCCTTTTTAAAACTTAAAACGTAGGAGGTATGCTTGTTGTTTGTTTCTACATTTCTTATGTTGGTGTGCTTGGTGATAATTCATCTGCAACTAAAAATACCACCACGATTGGTAATATTTAGAAATCGTCAAGGAGCAACACAATCACATGTCCGCACTTGCAACCAACGTACACGGTCGTTATCCTCATTTTAATCAACCAAACACCGCATTGAAGTAAATCAACCAAACACCGCATTGAAGTAAACGGAGCAGAGAAAAGATACACGGGTCCTTAGGACAATGATTAAAATGTTTTTTTTTAAACATGCACTGCAAAAAATAGTCTCACACAACACAAATAAAAAAAACAACCACCTGTGAAAATATTTTGAAAAGAGCCATAACGTGTCCCCTACAGAGCATTGCTCCGGATCAATGTTAAAATTGTGTCTCATCGCGTTATTTCCGTTGTGCCATCACCGTTAATTCACAAAGCAGTCAAGCACTGCGATAGCTTGGTGATAATGGTCTACAGTAAAAAAAAAAATTCACAACAAAAAAACCACCACCTGAATTTGAACGACAAACGTTTGTTCATTTAAAAATAAACATTGCTTGAATGCATATTCTACGGGTCTTTCGGTAAAGCCACGTAGATAGAAAAATAATAAAAATATCACGACGTTTCGATCGCAACACAAGCAATGAACGCGATTGCTTGTGTTGCGATCGAAACGTCGTTATATTTGTATTATTTTTCTATGTACGTGGCTTTACCGAAAGACCCATAGAATATGTATTCCTGCAGTCACAAAAGCTTTAAGTCAAGATTGTTGGAATACCATTTGTTTTCAAAGGCACAATGACAGCTTTGGATGTCTATGTACTGTGCTGATCACAACACAGTTTTCAAGTCGGCAGCAGACTGGGCCTGTGGATTAAAAATGGCGCTCACTTAAATGCCTCAGCAACATTACATCACAACCCCTCTCAAACCATTCACAGCGCAGCTCCCTCCAGTGGCAGCTATCCCATTGTGTAGCACAAGGATGAGATTCAGCACCAGCCTGCAAGTGGGGGCACCACAGTGGTAAGATGTTAACTACCTCGCCTGGTATACAGGAGTTCGTGGGTTCGATCCCGACCGTGATGCCTGTATATTTAGAGTTTGCATGTTCACCCTGTGGTCACGTGGATTTTTCTCCAGGTCCTCTGGTTTTTCCCTCCACATTTATAAACATGCGTTTAGAGTATTTGGCTGCATTACATTTCCACATAAATCACTTCGTTGAGCTATCATTTGTGGCCAGGTCGCTTTTGAAAAGAGAGCTATATAGCTTTGTGGACCTTACCGGATAAAATTAAAATAGTTGTTTTAATTCAATTCGCCTGCCAGAAGGGGGCGATGATTGCTGTGTAATTTCAAGTGGGTAATTTGCTGTTCAGCTTTTCAAATTCTGACCATGGTGCCAGCAGTACAAAATGGCCTATTTGTTGAGAAAAATATAAATACTCTCCACCTGATGACGGATGCTTGTGTTGCGCCCGAAACGTCGTGATTTAATTTATTTTATACCTACGGGACTTTACCGAAAGAACCAAGAGTATGGATGCCTGCAGTCACGAAAACTTCAAATCTAGATTATTTGTTGAGAATTACATTTAAGGGATCTGTTAATGTCCACCGTATGTATGTTGAACTTCTTTCGCACCATACGTAGCCAACCGTGCGGATCGTAGCTGTGGCTAATACACCCGCAGTCATAACCCGAGCGGCCAGCTGGATTCAAACGGTGACCCTCTGAAACAAACGGCGAATGCGCTACCACCAACCCGTCACACGGCTAATGAAAAATTAAAAAATGACATAACAATGCGATGCTTGTGGTGATATTTATCGTTAATACGCCCGCAGTAATGACAAGGGTGGCCTACTGGAGTTGAACCGCGTACCTCTGAAACAAGCGGCGAACGTGCTTACTGCTGGCCCATGTCACTGCTAACTGATAATTGGAAAAATAAAGATATAACGCCGTGCGATGCGTGTTGCTACACCATCACACAACAGAGAATTCTGCACAGCACCTGCCGCAAAGGTTTAAGACGTATAATGCTCAAGGCGATGGTTGGTGGACCACACAGATTTGTGAAACTCCCAAAACCACTGGGCTATGGAGATGGCCAAGTGACGGCAAGTACAACAAGTGGCCTCGTGAACCTGTCTGTGTGAGCCTTTCGAGTTCCCTCCAGGTACTCAAAGTATTCTTCCACAAGTCAAACACTCCTTTAAAAAGAAATTGGCCAAACATTCCAACGCAGTCATACTCCCCAAAAAGAGAGCCTTGTAACTCGGTGAGGTTTCCTCGATCCATACAGAACAACATCTATGATGGTATTGCTGCTCCAAGAGGGATTCTGGTCATTGTCAAGAAGCCGCTCCACCCACAACTACCACTGCTGGGCATTCCCCCCCACCCACTACCTCCCACGACTACCCAAACCAGTCCACCCCCAATGTGGGGGGGAAGGGGTGGGACATAAACAGGAAGAAGTGGGGTCTAAAGAAGGGGGCAAAGCCCACAGAGGTTGACCTTCCCTCTTGATTTAAAATAATGCACGGAATCAAAAATATGCAGCAGGCAGCAATGACACCTTTAGTGTGTCAGATTCCGGCTGCAGGCAAAGTAGTTGCTGTCCTTTTTCTTTACCGTTACTTCAAAGGACAAAAATACCCACCCGGACATGGCCGATCCCAGCACAAAAGCTGCGTTTTTCCGAATCTCAGGCTCGGAGGAGTTGAGGGCGTTGACAAGTTTCTGGAGGCCTCCCAGCGTCGCCAGATCCCGGGCATTGTCCACCTGTTGATGCAGCACAATGCCGAGTCCCGTTCAGCACCGACGTTCACACCCCTGCCACGCTAACACGGCGTTGCTCTACTATAAGTATAGCTCAGCGTTCTTCACTAACTCTCAGAGGGGGGCCCTACTTTCGCCGATAAAACATCATCAGTGCGAGGACCGCCACACATCTGAAACCATTGTGGTTTGACAGCACGATCATGATGGGGGGTGGGGGGGTGCTGTCACGTGTTCTGTATTGTCGGGGGCCGCACGTCAGGGGCCGCACTAAAGGCCACCAGGGGCCGCCAGTGGCCCGCGATGGCCTTGAAATTAAGAACCACTGTGGTATAGATGCACACAGTGCTTACATACTCAGAGGTATATATGCACAAGCACTGTGTGTAATAATATATTTTGCTCCCACTGCCTTTTGCTGCCGAGCACATACTTCTGCAGCCTGTAACACCTATAATGCATGGTGGTCACCCATTCAAGCACTTATCCAGGCTCAATTATACCATGTCTTCAACATCCGATGAGATCAGGCATCCGGTGAAAGGGCGAACTGGTCACATGCATTGCCGACAAGCGTTCAGAAAACCTCCATGGTTTTTTTTTTTGGCATATCTATAGCGCTTGCCAACGAAAGTAGTGGGCTGTACTTAATCACACTGCAAGTATCGTATGCGACTGCATGCTATTTACAGTGGGCTACTGATGTTGATAGTTTTCTGTTGCCACGTAACAACGATGCAAGACTCCACATGTTTGGCGAGGACTTCTCATCACTTACTGTTCGGCAAAAGCGCAAACCAACTGCGTTGCAGCTCAAAAGCAGACAATACAAAAATCTAATTACGTGAGAAGTATAATTTGGATATAAGGACACCGTAAATTAGCACAGTTCACATACAACCAGCTCGTCCTTACATTGCACTGGTGGAGGGAAAGCGAAGGGGCAACTTATGATACAAACTCCGTCAGATATAAGCACACATGCCCCACCTTTGCTTCCACAGATTTTGTGTGCGCTTATACCCCAGCCTCTCTCCTGGTATACCTAGCATTTAACAAACACGACAGATTCTCCAGGTAATGTGCCTAGCAAACATGCACAACAAACATATAACATATCGACTTGAGAGTTCAGAGATGAGGTACCGCAGCAGGTCCACACCTGGTGCACGTAGTACTCCAGGTCGAAGAGGGCGGCACTGCGCTCCGTCACGGGGGCGTCGGGCTGCGAGAACGTGGCCAGCAGTTTGCGCATGATCTGCGAGTCCGACTCGGCCTTCACGTGCATCTCATCGAAGTCTTTCTTGATCTCGTCCATCGAACGGAATTTTTTCTTGACTTCGTCTGCCTGAAACCGTGAGGCACAACACGGTCAAGCAATGACAACCGAGGAGGCAAGGATGCAATTAGCAGTAATCAAATATAAACACATTCTTTTTCTCAGTGATGTAATGAATTATTAGACCGATCGTGCATTCATCATCTTTGCCCTGGCATTACTAAAACACTGTTGAATACGTTTTATAAACAATTAAAATTGTACACACACTGCAGACAAAAAATAGAAATATTCACCCATACGACCTCAGAGACTGTTGCTGTCAGTAAGTACCTTGTAAAGCCCTGCCACCTTTGTGTCCCCAGTACTCATGTTCAGACGCCACTCCAGGTTTCTCATTTATGACAGAAATTCACCGAGGGTGGAAATTCAGGAAAAACTGAGATGGCATGTGCCACCACGCACGGCCACAAACGGGTCGAGCCCTTTCCGTCGCGTTTTTGGGTTGTGCCCCTGTTGACTTTGGAACGTCCCGCTGTATTTGGTCGGGCAGCTTCTACAGGAACGGAATTCACGGAACTCAATTCAGTTCCCCAAGGAGCACCCAGCAAGTAAAGCGAAACGTCGGCACACCACGCCGAACAATGCGCGGTAACAACCTGAAAGCCCTATTGCTGCACAAGCTGCCCACAGCAATGCAGTGCAGGTAAGTTAATGGCCACGCTGAGTAGAGAAATCAGTGGCAGATTCAAGGGGGGGAGGACGAGTTGGGGGGGGGGGGCAATCCCTCCCCCTTTGAGACCCTAACAATTGGCATTCAACACTTTGCCATTCCGAGACGTCTGCAAGTTGCAGGGTGGGAGGTTCCGTTCGCCTCCGAATCGCCAAACGTGCAAGCGGCTCAACATAAGTTTTATTCAGAGGCGTAGCGCCGTTGTTTTTAATGACATTGTTACTCGACGCAGAGAACTGTAGTGACACGACCGCACTCTACAATAGCTGGTGCCAAACTGTGCCACACGCCCTCCCGCATGGCCTTGTGGGAGCGCCAGTACCAAACAAGTTATTTTGTTAAATTTATTCTGATAAAACGAAATCGCAATTAAAAAAAAAACTGATGACGTACACATACATTGGAAAGGGTTAATTGGAAATGGCCAGAGAAAATGTATTTAATGTTTGGAAGTCTGTATTTACTATGTATTATTAACATGAGCCCCATTTAAAGAGTTTGACACCTCATGACCGCCCTCCATCGCCCCCCTCGGGAAGTTTCTAAGCTCCGCCCCCCCGACAGAGAGGCGCCCACGGCTCCCAGGGGGGGGCGTGTCTGCCCGCAATGAACCTCGCTGCTCTGCCTACGTGCGCCTTGGCAGCCGCGGCATCTGGGTCCGAGTACTTGAACTTCTTGAGCGCCTCCTTGAGCTCCGTGGCCGTGTAGGAGCCGGCCTCCACATCCAGGCTGCCCTTCCTGCACCCCGCACGCACAACAAACGTTCAAGAGGGAACTTTGGCGTCATTGTTTTTTTTTAAGCAATAGGCGCTTAACTTTTTTTAAATTAGATTTTCATTCGTTAAAACTATTTCAACAGTCAAAGATCCCATGAAATGAAACGCCTTGTTTGCAAGGGTGGCCACCAGGGTGTGGATTGACACATTATGACTGTGGGGGAGGGGGGTTTAAACACGTGGTGGATATTCCACATTCCTATGGCAAAGCAGTCGATTATTGAGGACGAGTATTGTAGACCTTCCACCTAGTGGTGCACACTAGAAGCTGCACATTATACCAAAATCATGATACTGGAGAAATCCGATGAGCTATAAAGCTCGTCGGAGCTTTATAGCTCATATTTTTCCAGTCAGGGCAGTAAGAACGTTACAACAGGACAAAAAACACGTTAAGAGTACAAGAAAGGTAAACAAATCACCCAAACACATACAAATAAAACTAAACCATCCCCATGCTAACCGAGAAAGCCCGAGATATTCACTCATTTTTCAAAAGTGACCTGGCCACAAATAATAGCTCAACAAAGTGGCTTACCATTTGGATATTTATCATAGCAAAATTGTCTAAATTGGAAGCAACCCAATCTATAAATGATACACAATACATGCAAGAGAAATGATAATTAAATCCTCTGGACAGATCTACCTTGGCCTCGCACAAAATGAATGTATCCCGAGCAAGTTGAGAACAAAGGCAATGGTTTAGTGAATGCAGTCACACTGCCACACAGCGGACCACATACAAAGATTAGCTGCTACTTGTTTTTAACATTTTTGTTGCCAGTGCATCACGTAAACAATTTGCTCTTTCACCGACATTTCAACGTCGGCCAGCGACCAAAAGTAATTTCCACTCGTACACTCTACGTGGTCTCTAGAAACGCAAGATGTATCTATGGCTACGATACTCGAGGCTCTTAATTAGTTCATGTAAACGTCTTTCTCTTTGTTACACATTCCGTCAATTCTGCACGTAAAGCAAAGTCAATATCTACGTCACCCCATGTACTACACTTCAAGGTGCCAACCTGCACAACACCGAGACTGCACTCTTATACGCAAACATTTGCGCCACACATGGCACCGGGCTGCCGAGCAAGCTCAAGCCAACGTTCGAGGGAACAAACCAACTTCCAAGCAAGTTTGTAACAATGTACTCTTGTTGCTTTGTGCCCAGCTTTACTACGCGCTCACAGCGAGCAAGATAAACGACGTTGGCACCCTTCCTGTTCCCAGTGGCTCAGATATCCAAAATCTTTAGGGTTGGGAGGGACGCTCCTGGAAGTCGGCAAGAGATTAAATAAATTAATACACAAAATTAACCAATAGCCATGATGAGCCGTAGCCACCGGAAGACGACTACAAGGCATCCACTTTCGGAGGCTATGGCTCGGCACACAGCTATTTATTAATTTACAAAATGCAATTATTCGTTTAATTATTACAATTCCACCAACTCTTCCAGGAGCGCTAGCACACCCCTGAAGTTCTATGCATCGAGGCCACAGGATCCAGCGGACACGAAGGGGAGCCACACAAACATAAAACGTTTTTCATTTCATCAACGATGTCCGGGCTCTGACCAATAAATGGAGGACCAAAGATTAAGGCTATTTTGCCGCCGTCCTGTCAGATTAACGCTTCGACAGGAGCAGCGATTTTGGGTCCTTCTCAGCTATGGGATTTACAATAAAAATTAGACCATGCTCACCCCATTTTACAAGTGGAGGTAACGAAAACATACATTTGTTAAGTATATGTTCGAATACGAGCGCTTTGCTAAAATGCTTGCTTTTGACGATATTACACATTATTTACACACATGTTCTGTAGATGGTAGAAACATTTAATGATCTTGTAAGAACCAGCCTAACAACCACGTGTGAGATATGTGCTGCATTGGAATTGATTAAAAAAAATCACATCCAGGAACAAATGTAAAAACATGTGGTTGTCACTCTTCTAATTCCGTTTTTTACTTCCTGTATAGGTGCACTGAACTTAATGGGACACCAGAGATAATATAAACGTAGTATTTGAGATACCTATACATTCTGCTCTCCTATGTCGTGTTTTCAAAACGCAAATTTAAATATAACAATGTAATAGGGAACACATTTTTTTACTAACGTGGATGCGAATTGGATATAATGCGATTAAGTGAACGGACCTACATCGCACGAGTCGGAAAAAGCGTAGCATCACACAAGGAAAGATTGCTGCTGGATGCTTCCCCACGCGCCTCGATCTTTGTTCAGCCTACGTACGCATCTCACGTATTATCGCGGACTGTGCTTTACCCTATATAATATATTAATTATTCATATATTTCCATAATGCGGTGTTTTTCCAAAACATCGCATTATAGAACATACTATATTAATACTTTTGATCGGACTTGATATCACAGCTCAAGGCCACAAATTAGTCAAGGGTAAGTACCCACTCGATTTCACTGCACAGCTGCTGGAGGTGGCTTGGTGACTCAGAGCAGACTCACGCCATGCAAAAAGCAGAGTCAGCACTGCTCAAACAGTCTGAATCCATAATTAAACAATGTTCCCACTTTTAGCTTGCCGATAGCCATCCTGGCCACTCGTGACTCACGAAAAATTTGATTGGTCACTTAATTTGCATAATGAAGCCATGGGAATAAAAACGTTGTTTAAATTGGCATGTGACAATGTTTAAAACGGCATACAAAATGTTGCGTGGATAAGAGACACTGAAAAAGAACTTGGGAAGTATTGTCTACATCTGTCAGGGCCGTTACCCATAATGCACGGTTAGACAGTGGTCACTAGAAGTGTCTGTCTCAGGACACAGCATGGCTATCACATAATTGGAATGTGAGGGAAAGAGTAACAAGAGACAAAAAGCTTTAATATTTTGACCGGAATGTGGCCAAAACAAAACAGTTCAAACGAAGTAATTAATTTGGCTCATTCATTATATACAAACAAATTATTATTACGTGTTTTAAAACACTACCAAAAATTTATTTATACAGCATCTATACCATATGTAGTCATGTGGGAGTATTCGTGCTAGATAATAGAAGTTCTCAGTGTAGGCATAATTGGGCAATGTTTAACTCCGGCAGCCACCGCACATCGGGGTTAGGTTGTGCATCATTTAACATGCACGAAAAATAAAAGGTGAGAAACGGTTAAGCAGGTCACGTCACGAGAAGGGACGGCCGACGATCAAGAATAACGATGGTGTGGCAGCCAAGGGATGGCAAGCGTCCAAAAGTACACCCACCGAGGAGATGGGCCGATGAAATCAGTTCGCGTGCAGGTGCTGGGTAAATTTCTACATCGAAAGACCGCAAAACATGGTGGTGACTTGGCGAGGCCTTGATCCAGCAGTGGACTGACAATGGCCAAGTGCTAAAAACGCTCTTGTCCGTGGCATCAGACTGGAGAAAAGTCCCTGAGCTTAGCCGAGAACACGCAACCTGCAACTCGGAGCCATCTAGAGCACGACCAGGCTGCATTGCAGTCTGAATGTTTACTTTGTCATAGCCAACCATTACTCAAGACTTGGTCGCTCACAGGAACACGCATAAGTCAATACAATTCTCATAAACGCTGTATCGTACTATTTAGATGTCTAGGTTTTTGTTATTGGGCCCAGCACATTTAATGATGCCTTTAATGAAATCCAAATTAACATTACACACATCTTTGAATTAAAACTTTCGTGACTGCAGGAATTCATATTCTATGGTTCTTTCGGTAAAGTCACGTAGATAGAAAAAAGATAAGATAATAAAAAATAAAGTGAATAAAAATATCACGACGTTTCGATCCCAACACAAGCGATCGAAACGTCGTGATATTTTTATTCACTTCATTTTTATTATTTTATTGTTATATTTTTTCTATCAACGCGACTTTGCCGAAAGAACAATAGAATATTAAACACACATCTATTTTTATATCCAAGTAAGCATTATGAATTTCATAAAAAAACTAATTGACACTACATAAACAACTCAGCGCCAACCTTTATACCAGATTAATTCTTATTTATGGGATTATCTGCAATTAATCTCAAAATCCATCATGAGAATAACCTCATTGAAATATTCTAGATTTGAAGCTTTCGTGACTGCAAGGATCCATATACTCTTTGGTTCTATTCGGTAAAGTCACGTAGGTAAAAATAAAATAAATATTTAGTAATAATCGTTGTGTAGGCCGATGTATATGCCTGTGTCCTGCGTGTATATATATACACTCTAAATCGAACACCACAATATTAAAAGCAGCCAAGCTATAATAAGGCAGTGTTCGACATTGCAAGGCCCGCTGAGCACTGGCAGCCCATAGTGGCCTTTAGTGCGGGCCCTTGACGTGCGGCCACCGACAATACACAAATGTGAAAACACCCCATCATCATCGTGCTGCTGTGAAACCCAACAATGGTTTCAAATGTGTGGCGGCCCTCACACTGATGATGTCTTATTAGCAAAAGTGTACCCTCCCCCCCCCTGAAAAATTGTGAAAAACACTGCCTTACGGTGTTAAGACTAACACATGTACTTTGTATGCAAGCCGTGGACTACTACGGAAACGGGCAACGCAGTGACGTGGGGACTATCACTTGTCTCTCTGCTTGCGGTCATCCTTATTCTCTCCATGATTGCGTCCGTCAGCTTCGTCCAGCAACTTAGCCTCCCTCTCGCCTGTCTGAAGGTTGAGCCTGATGTGCAAGCCAGCTGGTACCGCTTGGCCTGAAACAAAGACAAGGTGCACACATTCCAGAATACATATTGGTTGGGATTCCATGGCGAGACGTGGCACTGCTGTTTGGACAGAGCTCTGATATAAGAGAACAAATTTTATTATTTTCTCCCAGGACACAAAGTGCGCATCAAGTAATTTAAGAAAAATGTATACACATGTTTAAAAAAAAAAAACACTGCAAGTGAGTCGTACTTTGACATTTTATTGATATGGCAGTTGAAACAATGGTAGAGGATTTTAACCCCCCCTGCCACCTGTGTCCACCCAGTAGTACGAATGGTTACAGCACATTCTGCAATTGGCAGGCCGCATATGGTGCGGCAATGTGTGGCTACTCCCAACTCTTCCAAGACCTCTAGCCAGCATTGACGAGTGGGCCAAGATGCCCCCTTAGAGGGGCTCTCTAAAGCTCCCTAGAGTGGGAAGCCATGCCGCCAACAGCGGCACGAGCGAGTAATTTCAGGTCGAGTGAGAGCATCGTGATGGTATTCGACAATATGCAACAGTAGAAGCTTCGGGTGATCATTCTTACCTGGCTTCAGTGACTGCCATTCACTTGTGGGGTGAAACACCTCCGGGTTATACTCCTCCTCCTGCTGCTCCATCTCCGTGGTGACTGTTGCATCATTCGCTTCCGGACCATCCTCAACGTTCGCCTCAACCAGCACAAGGGCCGACGTCTCCTGTATACCAGCACGCAATATTTCACCAATGCGTTAGTTTTTGTTCGCACCGCTAATGCAACACATTCTGGTTACTAAAAGGTAAAGGTGCAGTCCTTAAACTTATTTCACACACCACTACCAGTGGTAGAGCCTCCACTAGAGGAAGGTGTGGAGAGCCACTCGAAGAGGGTATTTGGCCTACTCTTCCACATTGTCTAAAATCTTGGAAGAGGTGGGGATGCCCACACTACTCGGCACATGGGACCTGACGGTTGACTGTGTACCCATTTCAACTGCCGGGTGCACAGGTAGGGGCAATTTTCCCATTGCTTGAACTGCCACCTCTGGAATGCAAATCCAGAGAGCTCACCAATTATTAATTCATGATGGCATCCCTTTGTCGAGTGAATATCTTAAGTTAATGTGCTTATGCCCTTTGCAGGTGCTCTAAATAGATGTAGACTACCAGCTCAATATGGCATTTTAATTGGAGCTATAATGGCACACCTTTGTGCAGATAAAAATCTTTCATATCTGTTTTTGTGTGCCAATTGAAAAGTTGCAAACTGGTCAAACAGATAAAGTAATGGCAACAACTCTTGCCCAGCCATATATGAACACGAGCCACTATTTCAGGAAAAATACTGCACAACCCTATAGCGAAGGATTAAGTCGATGTAGCTTATCCTTAATAAACACCAAGTCTTTCTCAAACAATATTACGTGTGATCAGACACAAAACAATTATTAATCATTATCCTTCGTTATTCAATCAGGGAAAGCAAATGGTTTGGTGCAAGTCATAAATGTCTCGCTACGTTGCAGATTTCTTGTCAACACTTGCACAACGCTGTCATGTTTGTTGCAAACGACACAATGTCGAAAGCGGACCTTTGCTCTGACGTTCAGAGTAGAAGACAGGGCGACGGCCAGGAGCAGAAGGGAGAGACGGTCACTGCAGCCCATGGTGAGGAAGCTTCCTAATCTCATTATGACAATAGTGACAATGGCCTGAAAGGGAACATTTGGAAGCAACATAAATCATCATAAACTCGGCATATACAACGCACATTACTGTACAGCCATGCATTCTACAAATGGAATTAATGTTACACCTGTGACTAATAGTGTGCTTGAGCTACTGTTTGTTACTTAAACTAAAACAATATTTTGCAAGGGCAAGGCCCACTTTACTATACAGATAATTTTTTTTCAGAAGCAACCTGGCCACAAATGATAGGTCAACGAAGTGGCTTATGTGGACATTTACAGTAAGCCAAACACTCTAATCGCATGTTTCTAAATTTGGAGGGGAAAACCCGAAAGACCCAGGGACAATTCCACACGACCACAGGGTGGGAGAAATGCAAACCCCAAATAGACAGGCGTCAGGGTCCGGATCGAACCCACGACCTCCTCCATCCCAAAAAAAAAGCATAAAGTGTGCCCAGGCTCGAACCAGCAAGAAGGCGGTGGTTGCCTGTATCCGTTGTTGGAACCTAACCAGTGGTGTACATTTCACGGTCCTATGGCGTGGGTGAGTTCATCCACAACACAACAGAACCAGTTGGTTTTGTGCAGCACTTATTTTATCGATCCTAGATGGGACAGCGAACCGAGGACCATTCGATACATCACCGCGAGATGTTAACTACCTCGCCCGGTATACAAGAAGTCGTGTCTAGTATCCGGCCATGACGCCTGTATATTTGGTCGCATGGATCTTTCCCAGGGTCCTCTGGGTTTTTCCCGTCAACATTTAGAATCAACATGCGTTTAGAGTATGTTATACATTTCCACACGATAAAACACTTGCTTGAGCGATCCATTTGCGATAGCAAAGTCGCTTCTGAAAAATAGCTGCATGGCTCAGCGGGCCTTAGCTGGTAAGGCCGATGCTTTGCCACGTAACATCAAGTACTGAATGTCTCACCACCACACTGATGATGAACATTAAACAGACACGCGCCTATGACGAAAACTTACCGTGCAGCGTGAAGATCCGCAGCTTGCGATCTTCGGGTTGTTTCTCGTTTTTTTTTTGTTAACAGGCAACGTTCCGGGCAATGACCCTGCTTAAAAACGAGGTTTAATTACTAACAGCCCGCGATACACAACAGCGTGTGCTCCGATCATTAGCCAATACGCGCAACGCTGCTCAAATACAGTGGTTACGTGCTACAGTTATACAGAGTGTACATACTACACACACACACATTTATATAAATACGCTGGTTGTTCGTGTGTATCGTCCTACAGTTATACCACACACATGTGTTGCTGGGTTAAGATCCACACACACCACCCGCCAGACAATGAGTAAGGTTTGTCACGTTACTAATACAGCACACCGGTGTGCCGAGAGCAAATCCACGACATTTACAATCGGGTGGTGGCGGTTTTAACGACGCATTTATATTTATACGATCTCACACACCCAAAAAAACTGTGTTATGGATATTGGTCGCGAAAGCCTACGTGTTAAACCAGTGTGTGTGTGGACAATATATACTATAAACACAGACACATACAGCAGCGGCGGCTTCTTTCTAAATAACAACAGCAGCTGTTGTTGTTGTTGTTTACACACCACAACACGAGTACACCAGCGACAGTGAACCCGGAACTCGCCGCATTGCCGCCCTTTATATAGACACGACTACCACGTGGGTTGCTCGCGGGTTGCGTCAACCACTCAGCGACACCCCGGGCAGGCGCACGTTGACCAATCAAGCGGGGGCACGCCGCCACTCCATCGCCTCGCATTGGTCAATGACGGACCCCCCCCCTTCCCTCATCCCCCCCCCCACTCATTACGTTGTCGTGCCCAATCGATGCACGCGCAGGCAACCAGGCGGACCAATCGCGGCGGCGGAGGCCAGCCCACGTCGCCGCGTCCCATTGGTCAAGATTCTGCCCGCGCCGCGTCATCATTTTTGTTCAAGTCCCAATGAGTCACCGCAATTGCACGCGCGAGACAAAGATCCCCCGTGTAGCCTTCGCAGACTGTTGGGGCAAGTGCTGTTAGCGAGCACCTGTGAAGGCCGGAACGACACACGAGGGGGGTGGGCGGCCAGCAAGACGCCTGGCCGCCTTTGTCTCCCCAGTGGCGATGTTTACACACCTCACCAGCTAATCATTTGATGCTGAGTCAACCTAGGGGAGGCCCAGAACCCATTCAGATACTGTAATCATCACTGGTGTTGGTTGTGAGCGGGAATCAAACTCGGGTTGCCGGGTTGGTAGCGCAGCGCGCTAAAGATTGTACTACCACTCCATGCACGCACACACTCGGTTTCACACAACAACAACAACCGCCATTCGCCACTAAGTGGCGGTGACGTCACCACGACACTTGTGCCAGGCCATGTGCACCTTGAGGCCACGTGAAGTGTCGAACACCCGCTGGCAGGAGGTCACGGGGCAGACCCAGGTGCCACGGGTCGACTGACTGAGATGACCGAGACGACTGGCTGATGCACCAGCTGTGCCCCCTACTGTGCCAACTTGCTGTGCTTTAGCCACCCGGCACTCCGTTCGTTGTTGTGAGCGTCGCTCCTCCGCCCTCCGTTGTTGTTGGAGGGCGACTGCCTCCAACTGCCCAGTAGCAGCGTCCTTCACGAGCCTCCTCCACAGAGGCCGATCTTGACACCGCTGGTACCAGTCATCGGCAAGTCCACTCAGCTCCACGTCCTCCTGTACCACGTCGCTCCATTTCTTCTCTAGCCCGTGCCGCGCCCGTTTAGCCCCCTCTATCCGGCCGAACAAAAGCTGTTTCGGCATGCGGTGGCTGGGCATGCGGGCTACATGGCCCAGCCAACGCAGTCTTGCCTGCCGGAGGAGCTCATCGATGGGACTTTGTCCATATCTTTCAAGGATTTGTGAGCTCCTCACACAATCCAGACTGGGAAAACCCAGGATGGATCGTAGGCAGGCCAGCCTATATGTTTCTAACCGGCGAAGATGCTCCATTAGGGGGGGGTCCACGTTTCGCAAGCGTAGAGAAGGGAGGGAATGACCGTGGCCGAGAAGACCTGAAGCTTCGTGCGGAGTGACAGACCAGGTAGCTTCCACACAGCATTACGCAACTGATGAAAAGATATTGCCGCTCGACTGATTCGGAGTGAGACCTCTGCTGTTAAAATGGAGCCGGCCATGAGCACACTGCCCAGGTATGGGAAACTCTCCACTCTCTCCACAACTCCCCCATCACCGATTGGGATTTGTGGGGGTGGAGTGTCCGATGATGCAAAAAACCCAGGCAGGTACTTAGTTTTGGTGGGGCTGATGATAAGGCCCCATCTCTTAGTGGCACGCTCCAGTCTCAGCAGCAGCGTCTCCAACTCCTCCTCTGAATGAGCAGCTATTACCAAATCATCGGCATACATAACGTGGTTGACCAATAGGGAGCCATCCCTGGACCACACCCGGGCATCGATCAGCCTCCCATTATATTTGTACCAAGTGGAAATTCCCCCGGTACAGCTATCGAAGGCTTCACGAGCTACGTGGTCAAAATAGATGTTAAATAATGTGGGAGCCAGAGGACATCCCTGTCGCACCCCAAGGTGTACAGGGAATGGCTCTGACTCCCGGCCACGTAGTTTTACCTGGGCCCGCTCACCATCATGAAGGTCCTTAATGATCGTGACCAGAGGGTCAGGGACTCCGAAAGCACGAAGAACAACCCAGAGCCCAAGCCTACTGATGGTATCATAGGCCTTGACCAGGTCAACAAAGCAGAGATGTAGGTCTTGTTGGAATTCCCTACACCTCTGCTGTAGCAGGCAGACAGAAAATATGGCATCTGTGCAGGACCGCCCTTTCCTGAAACCACATTGGGGCTCCGCAAGCCTCTCCTCAGCGTGCCTAGCAAGGCGATGTTCAATAATCCTTGCCAGGACCTTTCCCGGCACAATGAGGAGTGAGATGCCCCTGTAGTTGTTAGAGTCTGTGCGGTCCCCGTTCTTAAAGAGGGGGACCACCAGGGCATCCTTCCAATCCTGCGGAACCCGTCCAGTGGTCCAAACTGTTGATATGATGTCATATAGGGCAGTCTGTGCACAAACGCCACCCTCCCTCGGCATTTCGCTTGGAAGATCGTCTCTGCCCGGTGGCTTTCCTGATCTCAGAATCTGGATCACCTTCAGTACTTCCTTAACAGATGGCACCTCAGCCAGCCACTTACAGGGGGTGACTTCTTCTTCCAATATTTGAGGCACCGCAGCCTCAGCAGGGTCATCCCCACTTTGTGCCATGATGTTTTCCTGGCTGAGGGATTTCCCCTCCCCCAGGACCTCACAGAAATGCTCAGCAAATCTGCAAACCTGTTCCTGGGGTCAGAGATGGGATCACCATTTTTTCCCATAATGATGGAAATAGGTGTGGTGCTGCTGGTTACTTTTTTGATGGAGTTAAATAGGGATATGTGATCGCGGGCCACTAAGGCAGACTCCATCTCCTCAGCAACCCGCGACCACCACCCATCCTTGCAGTGCCTCACGGCTATCAGAACCTCCGAGCGAAGGCTGCGGTAAGCATCCTCATTCTCTGACGTGGGATGCTGTAGACGATTAGAGTGGGCCTGTTGCTTTTTCTCAACCATCCTGAACACCTCCTCTGTCAGCCAGGGTCTCTGGGGAGGTCTGGACCACGTACCCAAAGCAGCAATTGCAGCTGCATGAGTCACAGTCCTAAACCTCGCCCATTTACCCTCGACATCGAGAGGAATGGGGGACGATACCAAACCCAGCCGCAAGCGATGATTAAATTCTCGCTTGCAACTTTCATCAGCTAGCTGAGAGCAGGCCACCTTAGGTTGGAATGGGGTCCTGGGTATACACCCACCACCGGAGTGAAATAATGGCAGACGCATCTTACAGATGACTAGTCGATGGTCAAAGGGCAGATCAGCTCCATGGTAGGTCCTGGTCTTAAGGACATGAGCACGCATCCGCTGGTCAGTCACTATGAAGTCCAAAAGATGTTCTTGCTTGGACCCGGCATGCATCCATGATGTTGTGTGGATGCGCCGATGCCGGAACAGCGTGTTGGTAATTACGAGCCCATGGGCTGCGCAAAAATATAGCAGCCTCCTACCGTTGTTATTGAGCTGATCTGGCCCATGCCTTCCATTCACTCCAGACCAGGTGCCAGCATCATGACCAACTTACTTTCACACACACATTGAAGTCACCCAACATGATGACTCTATCCCGAAGGGCCACTTTAGCCAGCACCTGTGACAGGAGGTCATAGAAGGCATCTGACTCATCGGCCTTGCCTGCATCCCTCCACGGATGTTCGTCTTCGGTGTGGGCATAAGTAACCACGACCACCACTCCTCGCCTCCGGTTGATGGGAAGGCGAGCCCAAAGTAGCCTGGGGTTTACAGCTTCCCACACCTCACCGCCACGCTCCCACGCCCTCTTCATTCTTTTTTTCAGAAGAATAGCCACACCCTGTTGTTTGGCAGTCTCCTGCCCCGAGTAGAGGACTGTCCACCCCTCATGGTGGCAGGAGCCAGAGCAGGTCCACTGGACCTCCTGAATGCCACAGAGATCCAGGCGGTACCGGTCCAGCTCCTGACAGAGAAGTGGTAGCCTCTCCTCCGCAGTGAGCATTTCACACACTCCCTTTGACATACACACTCACTGTCACAAACTTACTTTCACACGCACACTTGTGCCAATACCAATACCCCCACATTTGCTACGAAGTGACGGTCAAGTCACCACGGCTCCTGTACCAGGCCAGGTGCACTTTGAGGCCAAGTAAACACACACACACAAACACTCACTCCCTGAGTGAGGCCGACTCATAACCATCGCAGAGGATCACTCTGCTGAACAAAATAGTTCCACGGTTCAGTTCGCAAGTGCGTGTTCACGTTTTAAGTCCATGTAAATGAAATATATATTTCATGGAAGTATGGGTGTTCGTAAGTCGGGTCTTCATAAGTCGGGTGTTCGTAAGTCGATTATCGTCTGTAAAAGAAAATGTGATCAGAGATAGGATCCTAAGCCTCACGTGCACAAAAGGCCACACCCACCAGTGTCTAGACTATTCAGAGTACAGGGTACCCCCAATTCAGATGTGGGGTGGACTCCGTTCTGGTGAGATAGACACTCCATTAGCTCTATTTAAATGTAATTAAATATAACTGAATTCAATATTACTTGAATGTTAATTGACTGATAAGAAGTCAGAATTCCAATTGACTGTCGATTGAGTTATTAATGGTGAACAAGATATTTACAATTTAAAACTTTGATATTAACGTTGATTGTAATATCTCAATATATAAAATACTCAATAATTAGGTCTAGAAAATGAACACTGGTGTTTAATCCCATTAACAGAGGGACTGAGCTGAGGTGTTGCGTGACAAGGGGGTGGTAAGGGTGTGTCTGGTTATGAATGCAGGTATGTGACGTTCGCTTTTTTTAGTTTTATTGTGTTAGTTTTCCGTTTATTCACGGGAATTGTAATAATGAGATGGTGTCACCCCGCGGTGGCAATGATTTAATTATGTTTCATTTGGACCATTACGTACATACAAACCGAAAAAAGCCTCCCAATTTCTTTAACAAAAGTGTACAAACATTATCATCTGTGCAAAAA